TCTCTAAGCAGTAGAGACCTAGCCTGGTTAAAACCAGACCCTGTCCTTCACTTTGCTTCGGACAAGGGTCTGGACTTGATGGAGAATCAATTTCTTGCAGGAGGCGTGGCCTCTGCTGAAGTTTAAAATGACTCGATCAGTTGGCTGCGACGTATGTCGCTGTGATGGAGGCTAAGCTAAGAAGCTAACCGGAAATCGCGTGAGCTGTAAACAAACCTACTGAGAGGAGAAAAGTACCGAGCCGAACGAGATGAGAGCTGCTGCTTTGTCAGACAAATTTAATTTAATTTGGAAGCCTTATCAACACAGACTGGCTTCATTCACTTCCTTCACTGCCGAATGCTAAACTAACTAGCAGACACTGCGCAGAAAATTGACGTCGTTCAAAGCTCCTCCTTCTGTTTGCTGATTGSCKKAGGTAAAATAAACTACAAGCAGACACTGCACAGAAAATTGACGTTCTCCTGTCTGATTGGCCCCGCTAAAAATCTTCCAGCGAAATCCATCTCAATGGGAGAAGTCCCAGACGGAGCAGTGAAGAGAAACTAGAATTGAGCAGAGCTGTGTAGGAAGGCAAGGGCCAGGCTAGTAGAGACCCAAAAGTAAGTTTAAAAACATGAAAAAAGTGAGTTTTGCATAGTAGTTGCCCTTTAAAGATTGTCCTGATGTATCTCAGTAATCCAMGTAGAAAAATAAAAAAGGTTAGTTACAGTAGTTCCTCTGGATGAGTTCTTCTTTCATGAAACATTCGATCTCTGAGGTTTCAGGTGAACTCAGCATTATAAGCTCCGCCTCCACWTGGTGACAAACAGMTTTAACAATGACAATCAACACTGCTTGTTCARGTACAAAWGAGGACCCTCAGRCTAACAATAGATCATTASAGAGCTGATTATCACCTGTTGTTCACAGAGGGCTGAGTCATACTCACTATAACATCATTGTTCCAGGGGGACAACTGGACACAGAGGCCTTCATCCTTGTTTTTAAGACTCTTCATACAAAGTTTATTTTTATTTTGTTTGTGTTCAGGATGTCGGACGGGAGAGGCAAAGCTGACCAAAGGCTTCAACCTGGCAGCGCGATTCATCATCCACACTGTGGGACCGAAATACAAAGCCAAGTACCGAACAGCRGCAGAGAGCTCGCTCTACAGCTGCTACAGGAACATCATGCAGCTGGCTGCGTYAGTTCCACAAGTTCAACTTTCTCTTCTTCCCTTTTGGCCAGAACTAAGGTCTAATAAGTGATGTCGATTCTTGTGTCGAGCTTGTATTTCCTCTCAGATATGACTTTGTTTGGTAAACATTGTTTTGATGAAAGGTCTTCAGACCTTCCAGTTCTTCCAGAAACAATATTTGGACGGAAGTGTTATCAATCAAAGCTGCAGCTGTTTGGGCTTTTAAAAAGGCCAGATAGTTTACACACAAGTTTTAAAGTTGCAACAATGTAAAAGTTGAAAAAAAAATCAAAATTTTAAATCCAATTATATTATATTTTATTGATTAAATGCTTTCAGTTTATGATCTAATGTTAAAGTTATTGCTCTTGCCTTACAGAAAAGAAAAGAAAAACAGTTGCTTAAAACCTTGATATCAGAAGTTTAAATAAACCCACTTGATGAAATTGTATCTGATAACATTGCTATGTTTTATGACAATTAAAAAGAAAATATATATATAGTATAATAGAGTGTATTTTAATAATTTATTTGTCATACTTTCTCCCTGTTGTATTGATTGTGCAGAAATGTTAAGTGAATATGTAGTTTAAGTACAATATGAGACCATTTCTCTTCTGACTGCAGAGAGCAGTCGATGACGTCTGTTGGCTTCTGTGTGGTGACCACAACAAAAAGAGCTTATCCACTCGAGGACGCTACACACATTGCTTTCAGTAAGACTGTCAAACAATTACCAATAAAAACATACATGTACTGTAGTAAATTGTGATTTAGTAGATATACCTGTACAATAAGAATAATTTATTATTTTAATTATTTTATTTTCTGGCAGTTTATTACTATAAAAAAGTATATGTGTGAGTATTGGAATACCTGAAAATAAACATTTTACACTCAGTTTTAAGCCTTTTTCACACAGATGTTCAAGCTGACACTGATCCACCATCACTCTCGTTTGTGAGGCACACTGAGGTTGAATTAAAGTTATGCCCCTAGTTAATAACAGTCTTGGCCATAGAGTTATAATGATCTGTGTTTAAAGGGATAGCTCATCCCTTTAAACAGGGTCTTAGACAAAAGTATGAAAGAATAGATACCACATAGCCATAACATAATGACCCCTGCACGCAGAAATGCACCGGAACTCAGAAGTCTTTATTCCTATTAAGTGCCATGCTACCAGGTGCATCCCAAGATCGTAGTGGCTTGGGAGGGGGTCTTTTTATTTGGCGCGCTGGGGGGGGGGGCATTTGTTGACCTGATGGATAGCCCCTCATCCGAGCTAAACAACCAAAGAAAATTTGAAGCTCCTGTGTTTAATAGCTTTTGATTATAAGCATTTTTGCATGTCCTGACACCCCCTCTTTGAAAGGAGCCCCCTCCTCAAATATGGGGTCTATCATAAAACCATTGGTTGGCTCAGTGTAGGTCAGACTCATCTACAGTCCTGCCAAATTTCATGTTGATTGGTGCAGCCGTTTTTGTGCTATGGTTGACCAAAAATCTCCGGAGGGGGATAAAAAAAAATACCAGTACGAAAACAATATGACTCCTGCTTACACTTTGCTAGCGGGGGTCATAATTAATATCTTCCCAGTTGCAGTTGTTCTGTGAGTTACATCAGGTTGGAGAAATAATTTGGACTGATGAGCTACTCCAAATACAACTAAGTTCAAAGTGGATTGACATCTTGCAGCTATTGTCTCTGAAATTTGACAATGATACATGTAAATGCTATTTTATAAACCTTAATGAACCTTGTTATTTTAGACAGAAATCTTTTAATTTTCCTGCTGAAGCTGCTGCTACCATTATTATAGAAGTTCATGTAAAAATAACCTGCAATGCAAAGTTTATGATGATGTTAAGTTTTATAAAATAGCACCTTCATGAACCACAATGACATTTTAAACAGTGGAGTTGCTGCATGCAGACTAGTCTTAAGCTCATCAGTTGTGCAAAAATTTAAACCTTTTTTAATCCAAACTAAGTGCTTTAAAGAGCTGCAGGTGAAATATTGTTCAAAGCTCTTCCAGAAAACCTTATGGAAGGTTGGAACTATACTTCTGTGAGCWGGGAGAATGAAACTCGCTGCTGTTTTAAAGGGATCCCCAATTAGTTGTAACATTAGACTTTATTTGATAAACATATATTTTAACTGTAAAATAAAGACTAAAAATATTGTAGACTGTTTAGTTTTTATAATTTTTAAACTAAAAATTTAAAAATATATTACACGGACGGGGCCATTTTATTTACACAAAAAGCATTCTGGGTAAATGATGACGTGGATAGGTCCTCGGTACGAGGCTGCTAGTGAGCTATATCCACCCTGAAGGTTAATCTTGGACAATATCTGATGATCGACTTTTTAAAATGAAACCAGAGAGCGTTGACAGAGAGGAGAAGGTAGAAATGACTCAGCCTGTAACTGAAAATATGGATGGAGGACCTCATTTTAGCTTGTTTGTCGCGCTAGTACTGAGCTAATACATTTAAGGCAATATAGCATTGGTGCTAGCGCAAAATAATACTCTAAGCTGAGGTTCTTCTTCCATGAAGCAGCTCTGTTGTCCTCCATCCATATTTTCAGTTACAGGCTGAGTCATTTCTTCCTTCTCCTCTCTGTCAACGCTCTCTGGTTTCATTTTAAAAAGTCGATCGTCAGATATTGTCCAAGATTAACCTTCAGGGTGGATATAGCTCACTAGCAGCCTCGTACCAAGGACCTATCCATGTCATCATTTACCCAGAATGC